AGGGAAAGACAAATCTACCTTTTCAACGAAGCACTCGGGTCACAAAGCAACGAAGGTGTCGGGACAGAGGATTTAAAAATAACAAGGTGCATCAATGACCATGCCCTACCACTATATATATAGGCAAGCCCCCCAGAATTCCTAAAGCCCCTCATTAATGCTCCTGCAACTGAAGAGACACCAGCTAAGGGCTCGAAACCCTATGACGGCTGCGCATACAACGATCAGTATCATCAACAGTCACGGCTTCCGAGAAGTGTACGGAAACCCTATAAACCCACCAAACCTACTCAAACCCCTTTGTCTTCCATCCTTGGGCTTGGGGGGGCAGTGTACTAGTAGGCACCCCCCTTTTGACCTGATCAAAGGCCGAATACACCAAAACCGAAAGACACCCCTTCGGCCCTTGGCCAAGCCGAGTACCCCCCTCAGCCCAAGTACAAACCAGCATCCTGCAAATATCCAATCCACCCTAGACACCCCTTCGGCCCTAGACCAAGCCGGATACCCTCTCGGTCCCAGACCAAGCCGAATACCCCTTCGGCCCTGGACCAAGCCAAATACTCCCCCGGTTCCAGGCCAGGCCGGACACCTCCTCGGTCCCAGATCAAGCCGAATACCCCTTCGGCCCTGGACCAAGCCGAATACTCCCTCGGTTCTAGGCCAGGCTGGACACCTCCTCAGTCTCAGATCAGGCCAAATACCCCTTCGACCCTAGGCCAGGCCGAATACCTCGTCGACCTTAGGCGTGACCGAAGGACTTAAGGTAAGGAGAACTCACATGAACACGTGGCAAATTAGATACCTATTATACAATAATTACCATGCCTGATTAAGGGGAGATTAAGGTTAATTAAAATGTTACCCATCTCCCAAGACAAAAGGCCCACCAGGCCCAAACATGTCACATAAATACACAGGTGATGGGACATAAATGAGGTACGATTTATTCCATATAAAAGCACTTATTGCTCTATAACGAATACTTACTTGATCGTTGGAGTGCCTTTGCAGGTACCCTCCCCCCCCTACCTTTTCAATGAAATTTTTCTTAGCTGTTCAAAAAAAAAGACTATCCCTTAGCTCAAATGTTGAGTCAACTTAAATCGCAATCGTTGACTTGGGTATAAGACTCCTAATATGAATTCTTGGCAAGCAGATTCCACCTTTTTATGTAATAAAGTTGCCTTAGTACTACATCAAGATTCAAGATACATTATTGTTGCCCTCAAAAAGACAAATAGGTCTCATCTCAAGAGAATTCATTTTTCATCTCATGTTCTTATAAATACAATAACATCGTTCTACTTTAGCTTATAAATATTATTACACGATATGTCACTCTAATAAACTCTTTATTGGCCTGTGTGTCAAAATATTACTTATTCTGTTTTATAATATGTGTCGTTTTAATTTAGATCAATTAATAAATAGATAAAACAATTATAACATTAATCTTTACATTAACTTTTTCTTTATTATCAATGATACAATATAATAATTACTTTAAAAAAAATAATTATGAAGAGTATAAATAAAAAAGTAATTAATATTATATTAAAAAGTTAACATAAAATTTATTTTATAATTTATTTTACTTTTTTTAAATATAATAATTATGGGATGAAAGGAGTATGAAACTTATTAGATACTTGTTCATTTCTCACAATACGTTAACCTTGTTCCATTTAAAATCATTTAGAGACCTCATATATATCTTGATCCGCTTGAAATTTTGCCTTTAGTCAATGCTGACCAAATTTCGATTACAGTCAACCGTCCAATTCAAATGCATTAATATATAATATTATACTCAAGCAAGTCATACATTATTATGGAACTTAAAATTTTGAAATTAATAAATTTAAAAATTTATTATAACTAAAATCATGATTTTTTTTGTGTATTTTTAATCATATATTTATCCACACATTAATTAATACCGCTAAATCCATCTTACAAACAAATTATTTTGTGCCGTAAAGATTTAATTTTATCAACCCCTTTTTTTAATTTTTTTTTGGTTGAAATATGACATCCTTTTACTTTAAAACGATACTTCATTTCTCACTACAATCTTTAGTTCAAAACAACAAAACCTTCAGTTGATGATATTCAATTCCAAGTGTCACTAGTTGACATACAAGTGCAAATATATAATACTATTTCATTGGTGATCTTGTCCCGTTGCCCTATTGGACTGTCAAATTTCATCGGTGCTTTTGTCCCGTTGCCCTAAACTCTCCAAAGCAATGCAAATTAACGAGAAGGCAATGGCAAATTGGAAACCATGGCGTGCTATTTTTGCTAGTTAGGTATGTGACTGCTAAAACAAATCATACAAACCAAAACATGACTAATTAATTATTAAATATACCCGCCCACATAAAATAAAGGAATATAATAAGAAGATGAATCAACAGCACCGTTAATTTGGTATTTAATGAGCTACTATATTCCACTTACCACGTGGCAACAGCTGCGCCCCTTATAATGGATGCATATTTTGGGTCCTACAACAATTATTTGCCGCCAACCAAAGAGATTCGTGAAACAGCAATATAAGAATCGTCGTTATCTTATCATGTTCTTTAAATAATATCGTTGTGTTTCATGTCTCTGTCTTTCTTTTCCTCCTTTTCTTGAAAACCAACCCGCAAAGCAAATCCCCCAAAAGTGCCAACTTTTATTTGACGCAATGGGGGATTTGGAGAAGCAAGAGAGGGTGGTGGTGCTCATGAAGGAGGAGGAAGAGAAAGAGCGGTTGCTGGACTTTGATGCGCTTTGCTCCACCGTCGCTTTGCATGCTGCGCATGGCAAATGGGGGAAGCTGAGAGATGGAGAGGATGAAGAAGAGGGTGCTGAGTTTGGTGGAGTTTTCAGAATGTGGGAAGGTGAAATACTTGATTGCTTTGATCATCATCGTGTTGCTCTTGAATCCACATGGTAATCATCATTCTTCATTAACGTTTGATTTGCTATGTCTTTCCTTTTCTTCTTCGATTCAATTGTTTTCCGATGAATCATAACACATTGTGTTTATTTAGATACAAGTTTGGAAATATTTTTAAGTGTTTTTTATCATAAAAAAACTCTATTTAAAAAAATAAAAATTAAATTTTTTTTAACATATATTCAAACATATTATTTATATATATAAAAAAAAAACAAGGTAGCTAATTTGAAGGAAATGGGGGGGAGAAAATTTATTCTTTTTTTTTCCTCCTTGCTTAGGTTTTTAATCATTAATTTATTTTCCTATAAAGTTATGATTATGTTCATGGGTTCAGTTTCACTTTGAAGAGTAGGAATCAGGAGAATTAACGTGGATTCATAGGGGGTAAATAATAATTAATTTGGGTGTTGCAGTTGTCCTTGCTACCGATTTGGGAAGAACATGAAGAGAGCTGGTTTAGGTTCTTGCCACATTCAGGTATGTAGACAGGCTTAACATTGATTCAAAAGTTAAAGATCATTTGTGGTGGTAAAAATTAAGAAAGTTGGGTTAGAAGTTTAAAAAATTATTTTGTGTTTAGAATAGACAGTTATATTTTTGGTAATAAGTCTCTGAAATTTGAACTTCCTTTTCGTATTTTGCAGGCTTCAATTTATTTTCTTTTAGCTATCGGTGCCTTTCTTAACTTGGTTGGCTTTGCTGTCACGAGACGTCACTGCTTTCTATACCTGGCGCTTGCCTTCGTTGTTTCTATTGGAGCATATTTAGGATTCTTCCGGACACGTATAAGACACAAATTCAACATTAAGGTCACTATTTTCTGCAATTCTTTATGAATACTTTGTTGTGTGGTGATTGCTTTTGACTTTTCAAGGGATTAATTAGGTGTGTAAATGTTTTCTTTTTTGCACCATGGGTGATTTTGTTTGTTTAATAAATAGTTATAATGGATATTACTGTGTTATAATTTCTCTAAATATCTGCAATGAAATTATAATTATTATCATAGAAAATCGTAAAGCATCTAAGTATGAGTTAATCTATTTTGTTGCTGTGTCTCTAATAATCTTTTTAGTATGTTTTGTTTGGATTAATTAAAACAATTTCTATATGCATTTTTGGACCCACGTAAATATGGTTGACATTGAGACATTGAGTCGTACCCTACTCTGGATTGAAATGCACGATTATACATGTGTTAATCAATGATTTATTTGCTTTAATTATTTGTTATATTTTGACCAACTCATGCACTGTTGTTTTGCCATTTCAGGGAAGTGATAGTTCCTTGGACGATTTCCTTTACCATTTCGCCTGTCCTTGTTGTACATTATCTCAGGTCATTTTCGAAAATTTCCCTTCTCAATTAAGTTATTTTGAACTTCAGAAAACTAATTAAGTTAGCTTGAAGAATTATTTTGATTATCAAATATGATAAAAACTAGAGTACGTAGGCTTAAAGTGAAGCTTATTAAACTCATTTTAATATGCGTCAAATTTAAGATTTGTTTTTAAGAACTTTCAACTACAATGGTGGAATCATATAAGAACTTAAAATATAAGTCCCACTTATAATTTCACAAAATATTATTTTAATCATGGGAATATATATATAAATTGTTTGTATAATAACATGATCTTATATATAACCGGAAGCCATGTTATATTGTCAGCTGTTTTCTCCGATGGTAATCCAGAATAAGAATCGATTCTTTAATTTAAGATTAAGAATCTAAAAAAAAAAAATATTAGGAGATGCTCTAAATATGTTGAAATATCTTTAAAATTAATGGTGGTTATAACTAAAATGGGGCATACAATAATTGGTGTCAATGGCGACATTAAACATATCTTCATAATATGATGCAGGAGTCTAGAACCCTTGAGATGAACAATGTTCAAGATGGAATATGGCATGGTCGAGGAGACAAAATATGCATAGGTGGCTTTGGTGGAAAAAGCAAAGGACTCTTGGAGTTACATCCTCCTCCTATTGTCTGCATCAAGTCTAGTAACGAAAGTTGCATGGTAACAGACACAAATGGCAGCAATCCATCTTGAATTCAAGGTTGGGAGTAAGAGTTGAAATGAATCTTCATCTTAAACAAACACAAATGTCGCCACACATTTCAAGTTCCCATTGAATTTCTTGCTAAGAAGAAACGTTGTGAGCATTCCTCCATGCATAGACGGTTCATACTCAACATTATGTTGTTGGAGGCACTGGGAAACAATTGTTGTTTACTGTATCTTTCTGGGATGGCTTCTCGTTTGGACGTAGAACGATATGCTGTCTCAAATTCAATTCCTTCTGGGGAAGGATATGTTAATATGCTCATGTACATAATCTTCTTTTAGTCTCAACTAATGGGGTGGGTCTAATTTTACAAACCCCTGTAATATATTTTGATTAGTTTGAAGATGGTACAGGAATGCCATTATGTTGTGCATTTATTTCATAAATTGAAAATTCATAATTTATAATTACTGGCTCAAGAGGTTTGGTTTGATTTTCAATTAGTTTAACTAAGCAAATAATGACTATGCACAAAATATTCATAGGATTCATTGTTTTGATTCATTCAATAAGAAAGTAAATTGATGTAAATGGAAGCAAGTAGATGAACAAAGTAAGTAGTTAAAGAGATCCATATGCGACAAGTTTAGAATTGAGTTTCACTTATTATACTCTTCTGTAACCTTTAATAAGATACATACATTAACCCTCCTTTTACAATAATATTTAGGATTAGATTCAATTAATATCAATTTTTCAATAAAGACATTCTAAGTTTTTCCAACCTGAACATCAATTCTTGAAGAACTTGCATTAAGAAAATTATTTTTATATCAATGACCTAGTTTTATTCCTAACAATTTGAATTATTAGGTTATTCATTTCACATCATGGTCTAGAAAAAATTCTTAAAACGAGTTCTAAATCCAAAATCATATTACAAAAATAAGTAACACATAAAAACATTAAGAACAAAAATAGATTACTAATATATAGAAGAGATCATAATATATATATATATATTAAT